TTTATTTAAGAATTTGTAAAAAAAAATTTTTTTCATTTTTATTTCAAAATGGCGGCGATATACGTTATTTTCGAAAATGCCCATTTTCGGTGGTAAGATCGATTCCAAACTTTCTGTAACAGATAAAACGAAAAACGAATAAGTGACATTCTCTTTGTTAGATATTTCTTTAGGTGTAGATCCTCAAAAAAGTGGAATTTTCTTCCCCCCCTTTTTTTAGATTACTTTTTTCCCAAAATATGCAAAAAATGTTTTTTTATTCAGAATTTCTCTTATAAAATAAAGAGAGTTGGAAATTTTCCAGTTTTTGAGGTTCCACTTATAGGCATGATGACGCTGAATCAAAAGCCGTTTGATTTTTTAAAATCGCTTCAGAAGAACTCGAGATATCACTCTTACCAGATTAAAAAAAGACATTTTGAGAAAAACGCATTTTAAGTTTTTGTTCACAAGGTTCGACATTTTTTAAAAAAAATCATCGGATTTGCTTGAAAATCGTTACTCGGGGGTTTTCAAGGTCGCTAATTACGAATATTGAATCAGATTTTTAAAATTCAAAATGGCGGATCCAATATGGCGGACATTCTTTTTTTAAAATCATTGGATTTGCTTGAAAATCGTTACGGGGGGATTTTGGGGTCGCTGATTACAAATATGACATAATTTTTTTAAATTAAAAATGGCGGATGAAATATGGTGGACGAAGAAAAAATTAAAATATAAATTTTTTTTCCGCCATGTTGGATCCGCCATTTTGAATTTTATAAATGTAATATCTAATTTGTGATCAGCAACACCAAATACATTTTTGTTTGTCTTTTTTAAAAAATGCAAATGAGAAAACATTTAAATCATTCGATTGCCTATCCGCATACAAAAACATATTTGACATGGCGAAGAATAAGGATGTATAACTATTTTTCTACATCGAATTTTGCAATAATATTTTAGGAGAGTATTCTTGACACTATAAGAAATCCGAAAATAAAAACAAAAAAAATGGATTTTTTTGACATTTTGAACTGGAATGTCTCCTTAAAGAATAAAAAGTCTTTAAAGCCCAATTTAAACATGAAAATTAGCTTCTAATTTTTAGAAATTCAATATTTTTAGTATTTTTAATTTATATTTCCAAAAATCTTAATACATACAAAAATAATATTTTAGAATTATTTTTAAAATTTTGGAATAAAAATTTATATTTAAAATTTTAATTGACATTCATTAAAAAATTAATTAGTTTTTTTTTAATTATACAAAAACTCTTTTAAAGAAAACATTTAAAATTTAGTAAAACCTTTTACAAATAATATAATTTTTATTAAAAAATCTTAATAAAAATGATCAAATTTTTGCAGAATTTTAATTATGAACAGGACCATAATTTCTCAAAAAATTCAATGAGTCCAAAAAGTAAATATTCATAAATTTTTATTTACATTGGGGTAAGGCTTTCTGAAGTGTACTCATGATTTTCAAAGGGTTTTTTAATTTCATTTTGTTAAGCGCCATATTATTCGACATATTAGATCCGCCATTTTGAATTTAATTTTTATTAAAATTTTCGAAATTATGTATCAAATGCTTAATAAGTAAAGCATTAACTAACAAATTGAAACCAATTCAACCCATGTAACGCGGCAGTGCAACCGCCCGCGAAACTGCACGCTCCATGTCTTTTTTACAGCGCGTAACAGGCTTAAAAAACCATCGGTATACTTCAGAAAGCCTTACCAATTGTTCGAAGATAATTGAATCTTAAATAATTATAGGAATTAGTTTTTTAAAATATTTGCGATTGTTCACAACTGGAGGCGGGGTGGGAGTCAAAAATTGATGAAAAATTGTCCATTTGGTTTATGGAACAACGATAAAATTTATACCTCTCACTCAATTACCTCGTTCTCGATCTCCCTTTCTTTTACTCCTTAATCTATCTGTGAGTGAAAAAAGAAAAATAATAAGCCAATAAGGAAATAAGACGCCCATTTCGTATTTTGGCTAGAAAGTAAAATTCCCCACTTTTCCTTCCCCTATCAAATTCTGTTCCTCCCTTTCTACCTGAAACGGAAAATGGAGAAAACATGATACCCCCTTCTAAACCCAAAAAGTGGGCATTACTTTCTTAACTATTCGTCTTTCTTTCGCTCCTACTCTAAACTAAAAGGAGAGACAATACCTCCCTCCCTCTCTTTCTCTCTCATTGTGAACAGAATATATAAGGAAAGACTAACTTAATATATATAGATATAATAATATTCGCCTCTCTTTTGCTCCTACTCTAAACTAAAAGGACAGGCGATACTTCCCTCTCTTTATCTCTATCAACCTTTCTCTCTCACTGCGGACAGAATGTACACGCTGGACAGAATATACAGGCTGTAGACAGACTGAATGAAAGAAAGAATTCGCCGATTATTATAGTTAATATTCAAAAAATGAATATACCACTCACGAAGCACGATCGTTAACTCTCCACACTACATACAAGGGCCATGTCCAAGTTAGTCCCGTGAGGGGAAGTAGCCTTCCGCCACCATGCGGCACACCAAGTCGAAACTGAGTCCCGAGCAACCCTCACAGTGCAGCGGGGGTCGCTCGGACCCTTAAACCCTCATTAAGGAAAACTGTTAATGACTTTTTCTATAAAAATATAATTTTTTTAAATAGTAACATTTTTAATTTTTCATTAACATATTTAAATTCCTTACTTTTTCAAAATTTTATATATATGTTGTTTACCAAAAAAAGTTAAAATTAAAAAAATGTATTATGTTTTTCAGATACATAGAATGAAGTTAACTCTACCAAAAACCTTACCTATTATTAAATAAATATTTACTGTATCACATAGGTTTTATCTAAATTAATTTAATGCTATTTGACCCAAGAATTGAAGTATTTAAATCAAATACCATTTAACTTAATTTTTAAATTTTAACATTTTTTGGTAAACAACATACGTATAAAATCGTGAGAAAGTAAGGAATTTTAATATGTTAATGAAAAATTAAAAATGTTACTATCTAAAAAATGTATATTTTTATAGAAAAAGTCATTAACAGTTTTCCTTAATGAGGGTTTAAGGCCCGTTGCACACTGGCCGATTCGTGTCGGCCGACAGAATGTCGGTCGAGCGAGGTTTGCACACTGGACGATTTTTGTCGCCCGACCCTTCGTCTTTCGACTAGATACCTGTGCAGTTTACAGGTTCATTTTCAGTACCATGTCAACCTGCGAAAAGTTCGCTGCGTGCAACGAAAAGAGAATATTTTAAAATAATGGTGAATTCAAAAAAAGTTCTTGCAATTTGGTTGTTGCATCGGCGTCGTATTAATCCTCAAAGGATTAAACGAGCTTACTGGATTCATCCAATCAATCAGATGAGAGAACAGGAAAAACAGTTTAATAAATTTTTTACAAAAAATTTCTTTAATTAATTAAATTGTTTAAATAAAAGATATTGAAAAAATAATTAATTAATTTCATTATTTAAATAAATCATATTTAACAAATTAATTTATTTCATTTTCTTTCATTGTAGTTCTAAAAAAATGGTTTAATTTTCATTATTCTAATACTTAATTCTGAAAAACTACCGACGACGGACGACAAATTGTCGTCCAGTGTGCAAGCAACCATTGATTTCAATGCGCGACTGCATCGCCGACATTCACCGACTGTCGTCCATTCCAGTCGATTTGGACGACAACCAAACGACATTTTGTCGTGTCGTTTTAAAATCGGCCAGTGTGCAAGCGCCCATGCTCTTCTTCAGTTAACTAAAAAATTTTTGTCGGCCGACACAAATCGGCCAGTGTGCAACGGGCCTAAGGGTCCGAGAGACCCCCGCTGTGAGGGTTGCTCGGACTCAATTCCATGTAGCGCTCGCAGCGGGGGTTTTCTTACCCTTCTAACTGTGAACAGACAGAAATGCGAACGGAATTACGGACTTTAATATTGTTAATAATTTTTTACTCCTTCTAAAAATAATATTTAAAAAAGACAAAGTTAAATCATTTTTACTAGAAATAATTCATATTTTCAACATAAGAAGGCCTCAGAGCATAGAAAATAGCAGACAGCTTAAACTCCCTCAATTCTAAGATCTTCTTATTTATAAATACAAAAATGCGTAATATATGCAATGCAACGTTAATTGACATGTAAGTTAGTTTACATAACACTGTTCAATATAACATACACCCTGATGCTTTAATGTCTTCTTCCCGGTTTTGATCGCATTTAAAAAGTCGTGACACATCTATAAAAATATTGTTAGTTCGTGACGTATAAGTTCTTTCACCGAAGTAACTAAATTTAGATAGATATGTCACGATTTTTTAAAACGGCGTCAAAACCGGAAGGAAGGCATTTAAAGCATCAGGGTGTACTTTTAAATATTTGAGCTACTTTTCAAATCGTTATCGATGTCGTAAACAACGTAGCATTCTATACCAAATTACTATTTCATTTTCTACAACATATACAATATTGCTTTTGTTGTTGTATGCGATGTTGAATGCAATACCCCATATAACATCGTATACTTCATCGAATACGATATCGTATTTTCCAATAGGGGGGGAACAATGGAGATTAAGATGGCAGTTTACGAAGAATGGTCAGCGTGCTTTGCAAAATTATAATCAAACGACATCCGCCAGGAATCAAATAATGTCAAATGCATAAAATAAGACTCTCCTTGATGCGAATTATTTTCGTATGATGATTTCCACATAAGATTTCGGAAATCCACGTCCACAATTTATATAATAAGCAGTTTCCGATGCTTCTTCTTGAAATCAATCTACTCTTGATAAATTTCCTCGATTTTCCACCATTTATAAGTTATATTAAATGCCACTTTATTAAATGACAAAATATTTTACACTTACATAAAACAATTTAATTATCATTAATTCAAAAGAAAATGTTATTCTATTAAGATTTATAATTCCCTTTATTAAATTTTAATATATTATTTATATAAATGCACATCAATTGCAGATAATGTTCTGTTTTTCGTATTCCTCTGAAAAGATTGTATCCGCCTGTGAAAATTTTGAAACTGACACATTCGTTTGAACATCACAATTCAAAATATTTGGAACTTTAATCTGAAAATTCATTAAAATATTTGAATTAATTTTGTTATATAACTCAACTACTAAACTGAAAAGTTAAAAAATGTATTAATGTAAATATAACTTAATAGTGTCCATGGGAAATGAAAAGATTTTATCTAGAGCTGTGCAAAATTATTCGACATTCGAGTTACTACAAAACTCGATTCGTTATAAACAAAAACTCAAAGAAGAAATTATTTTATTTATTTAATATTTTGATGTTTACTTTTGACATGTATTATTGGTAGAAATTGCCATTAATGACTTTTATTTAAAAGTTTTTATGTTAATGTTAGATACTTAAAAAACCATATTATGTTATTGTCACAATGGTCTTCGAAACAATTGTGCTACCAATTCTCGCATAGACAATACATAAGCCTGAAAGTGGTCCGCAGATTGTTATCGGTCCACTAACGTGTTAGACACGATTTTTATCTGGACAGGAATTAGTCTGGCATGGCACATTGTAGGCACATTTGGTACACATTCCGAGCCTGATAAATTTTAGTTACAACAACCAAAAATTTAAAATATATTTTAATGCATCTTTTTGGTAAATTCTGAATAGCTTGTGAACTTACAAGTGTAAGTGTTGCTTCCTCTTAAAGGAAGCCTTATAGTGATGTCGATTTCCGAATTTTTTAGAATCAATTATTTTTACAAATTTTCAAGTGTAGTATATATAATTCGTCGAGAGGAACAAGTGTCCGGATGTATGTATGTGTGTGTGTGTGTGTATGTCACCGATTCTTGTGGACAAATTTTCTCTTACACGTCTTGACGGATTTTGATAAAATTTTGTAGGTGTATTACGGTCACGAATACCAAAAATCATACAGAAGGATTTTCAAAAATATCTAAAAAAAATTTTTTTCAACAATTTTTTAATTTTTGAAAAAATTAATTTTTGGATTTTTTGAAATAACTTTTTTCTATATTACAATTTTTATTAATTCTTGGCAAAATTGCATACCTGAAATAAAAACGAATCGATTCATGTATATAAAGTATATATTTTATCCAAATTTGTAGAATTAATAAATATTTTAATTTTTCACAAAAAATTGAAATTTTGTATTTTTTGAAATTTTATCTTAACACTTTAAAATAATTATTCTAAAATAAAAAATTAAACGATTGGTATATATTATATTGAGGAAGCTTAATGATCATGAAATGAACAACTTGTTTACATAATAAAAAATGTTGTTTAACATTGCGAAAAAGGAAAGAATAAGAAACAAAAAACGTTGCTAACGAACTCACGAAGGTCTAAAATAGAATATTATTTTGTTACTGTATAAGTAAAAAACATTTGAAAAATACTTTAACATAACATAAATATAGCATTTGTTCTAAAAATCATTTGGGAATGATGTAATTTTTCCAAACGTTATAATATTAAAACAGGCACAAACTATGCAATTGTAAGAAATTTCAATCTCACTGCAAAAAATAGCATTTTAAAAGGGACTACAAAGTTACCTTCAAAATACTGAATTTTTGCAGTGCATACGCAAAAATTTCCTTAAAGTCTACTTCACTAGTTTACAAACTTTAGAGAGCAGGGACACCACAAAAATGAACACTTTTCTATAATCCAAATTGCAATGCTCTAACTAACTATTTCCGTTCGAAATATAATGAATTTTAACTGTTTTGACAGTTTAAGATTTAGCCCCAATCTCCCCTATAATATATCCATGTAAAATATTTTTGGATTCTCTAAAAAATGCGCAAGAACCCAAGTCAATCGGCGATAGGCACTTGGATAATGTTACTTGTTAGATTTGTTAAAAAATTGTAAGACAAAACATACGTCTTAATGAAACCGCCGATGGTTGTCTATTACCGAATATCGTCTATGTCATCAATGTGCTGGGTTTAGTGAATGCTTATCCACTTCCAGACATGACTGACATCATGGATATGTTCGGTAGACCTTGCCGTGGTGGCGGGGCTTTTCACTAAAGGACAACTAAACAGGAAGACCAAAATGACCGATTGTAAAAACGAGGAGTACCTGCGGGGTAATGTTTCGGCTAAATTCCTCACTGTTTCCAAGCGCCTAGCGCGGGGCCGGTGGATATCAAGCTTTTGTTCTTAGGCAAAAATTGCCTAAGTAAAAAGAACATTCTGTCGAATTTTTTTTTCAGTGTAACGCAATTGTGTTAAGAAACTTCGTCTTAGATGCTCAGAAACAGAAGAGAGATAGTCTTAAGTCTACGAACAGCTTCAAGAAGAAGAAAGAAGAAGGACCTCCAAGAAAGACTGATGACAACAGAACTAAAGCGGCACCACAGTCGGGTCCTGTCCACAAGGGAAGACTGTCACAACAAACGATGATCGTCAAAGTGGCTGAAGGAGCGTCGTTCGCCGCAGTGCTCAAGAAGGTTCGTGAGGATGCCCTTACCGAAAAGGACGACGTTGAGAATGCCCTGGAGAAAATCTCTACGGTACCAGCTGGAAGGTGACGGTCCTTGGACCAAATAAGCGAGGAGTAAAGATCGATGTCGTGGTCACCAGAAAAGAAGACGCTAACAAGCTGGAGAAAGATTGGCACGTGAAGATTGGTTTTGTGTCCTGCAAGGTCAGAAGAGGAGTTATGGTCACAAGGTGCCATAGGTGCCTTGATTACGGCCATATAGGTTGAAACTGTCAAGCAGTAGATAGGTCGGCCGCGTGCTTTAAGTGCGAAGAACGCAGCCATATGGTGGCAGATTGCAGGAAGAGCCCATGCTGCTTCTTATGCAAAGCAAAGTGCGGTGACAAAACTGACATCAAACATGTCGCACGCAAGAACAAGAAATAAATAGTCCAGTACAAGAGGGGCACGGAAGAGTAGCGTCAGCGACTAAATGGGACCTTCACCCTACAAAGTTTAAAGCCATTAGGTGGTTCCGTGGGTTGAAGAAAAGTCCAGAATAAGACGGGAGTGGTTTTTAGTTTTGACAGTTTCACATTTAGCCCCAATCTGCTATAGTTTTTTAATTAACTAAAGATAAAAATTACTTGACAGTTTTCCAAAGTATATAATATTATTACAAACTTGATAAAATCATCAAAAATAAATGTGGTCTGAAAAAATGGATAAAACTTAATAAAAACCTATTTAGACTGTTAAAACTTTAGAAACTCAACAAAACACTACAAAAATGATAAAGTTTAAAAAAAATATAATTACATTGGTATTAATTTTTATCCAATCGATATATCGATTAGTGACTTCTAAATGTTTTATTCCATTCCAGACAATTTCCATTGATTTAAGATCGTCACAGATATTCTTACGTAAAAACCATTTTTCTTTGACTTTATTGCTCGGTGGAACAAAGCGCATATTTTTCGGCAAAGCTGTTCCAAATGCTATTGTTGTTTTTGGTTTATTTTCAATCTTTCTGTCATGAATCAGTTCTTTACGAGTCATCTGTAGTTCAATTGCATTTGCAGAGTTTCTTACTAAGGCTACTGGTTTTGGTACTGTTGGAAGTTCTTTTATAAACACCTAAGGTAAATAATTTTTAATAAATATATTAACAAATTTAGTTTATAAACTGTGGAAGTAAATTATTATTGAATAATATTAACATAATAATTAATTAATATTGATTGGTATGTACAAAGTAGTGATTGTAACCTTTGTGGATTGGCATGCGTCTGCGGTAAATATAATTTGAAACATGTCTTTTAGAACTTCTTCATTTATGTGTTGTAATGGACCACTTAATTCCTGTAGCCATTCGCAAAACTCTTGAGAAATTTTGTCAGTGATTTTAGTGGCTCTATTATGCAACGAATCATCGGGATTGTAACCTTTTAAATCTTCAGCATTTAATGAACGCCATATTACAGACTATATAAATTTTAAAAAGAATATTATTTTTCAGTATGGAATTAAACAAAACAAAAAAATAATTGTTACTTTTCTTTATTACAATCAATTTTTTAAATTCTCTACTAATGTAATCAAAATTCTGTAGTTAAGAAATAATTAGTTTGGCACCTTTCGTCGTGGCTTTCTTAAAAATCGATAGTATGGATTTAAATTTTTCATCTGACGATCATCTAGAGATGACTGATTCTGAGAAGGTGGATGTACCTAAAAATAAGAAATATTACTTATCTTCATATATGATTTTACATCATAGAACATTTTCCATACATCATAATGATCTAAAGCCAGGTGGATTCGTAACCCCAGGAAGACGGTTCAGGCTAGATATAACTCAAAACTCAGAGAGACATTTCTGGTTTACCGGGTAAAATTAGAGATCGTGAGACCTTGGATGAAGCAGCTAGTAACTTTACAAAGGCCATCAAGGCAGCTTACGAAAATAGCTACAAACCGACAAATGTATTTTCAGGAAAAAGAGTGTGCTGGTGAAATAGAAATTAGAATATCTCAGAACATCTCTCAGCAAGACTTGATAAGCTGCTTACGAAAAACCCCGAAGCAATCTTGAAGGGCGATAAAGCACGCTGTGGAACTGTTGGTGAGTCTTGCCAGGGTAAGTCTATCTCTAGGTTATACCCCAAAAGCGTGGAGGGGTACAAAAGTTGTATTCATACCTAAACCGGGCAAGAACGGGTATACCTCACCGAAGGATTTTCGTCCTATTAGCATCACATCTTTTATTCTAAAGTTAGTTGGAAGACTGGTGGATATATATATCCGCAGTGAGATCTTGAAGCGGTATCCGCTACATAAAGATCAATAGGCGTATAGAGCGGGATGCTCTACGGAGACAGCTCTGACTAAAGCAGTTGACCTCATTGATGGACTACTACAATACCAAGGTTTTGCAGTATGTGTTTGTATGGACATAGAAGGGGATTTTTGTCAGGGCCCCCAAAGTCTATAAAAAGAGCTATGATAGTTTTGAATATCCCTACAGTAAATCTTGATTGAACTTGTCATATGTTGAAGAACAGAGACCTCTTATCAACAAAAAGGAACTCAGTCCTGGAAGGAACAGTTAATTCTGGATGCCCACAGGGTGGAGTTAATTCACCTTTCCATTGTTCCTTGGTAGTGGATGAACTACTGAGACTCTTGACTGAGGTAGGGTATCATGCAATTGGCTACGCAGACGATAATCTGTTAATCGTTCGTGGCCCCACCTTGATTTAATACCATACGGTATAAGTGGAAAGCATCGTGCCTCGCCCTGTCTGGGAAGGATCTTCAATTTACAGAATAGACAAAATATCTAGGGGTAATTCTGGATAGTAAGCTGCTTTGGAAAAAGCACCTAGAGGAGAAGTGCAAGAAACTTACAGCTGCTCTTTGGCTATGTAGGAGGGCCATTGGTGACAGCTGGGGTCTTAAATCTGATACATTATTGTGGAGCTATGAAGCGATTCTACTCCCTAGGCTGACTTATGCTTATGTGGTCTGGTGGGGTAGAGTCGAATTAAAAACATCACAAACAGAATTGGAGAGGGTAAGGGGAATGGTACTGAGGGGCATTACGGGCGCGGTGTGCACAAAGCCCACTGTTACTGTTTTACATGCCGAAATTATGGCAATATTCTATGGTGTTGTTGCGGCCCTAGAAATTTGTCAAGATCAAATCAATTTTATCGTTTCGGATATCAAGGCAGCGATTTTTGCCTTGAAACGCTATGAAACTACATCAGGTACTTAACAGTCTAACTGGAATTAACCGCGTTACTCTTCTTTGGGTCCCTGGTCAAGTGGATTCATTCGTAATGATAAAGCGGATGAACTAACCAAGGTAGAGGCTAGAGGACAAGTTATTAGGCCTGTGATAGAGTACCAAAAGGAATTGCAGGCGACTGAGGGGTGTAGATAAGCCAAAACACTCATATTAACGAACGGAAATCCGAGGAGAAAAGCGGAATTCTGTAAACTCAATAGAAAAGAGGCGAAAATCATAACAAGGCTGCTTAACGGTCATGGTGATTTAAGCAATCATAGGTATAATATAGGTATTGTGGGAGATCCTAAATTACGTAAGTGTGAAAAGGAAGATGAAACCTCGATTAGAACGATTTTTCAATAAAATACCTACTTAATTATAAAAACTTAAATTACAATAAAACCCAAAGGCCATAATAGGACATAATATATCTTCAGAACGTCCTTTGAGCGGACATCCTATAGACATACCATGTCCTTGTGCCCACTGAGGTGTTACCAATTTAACAATTGTTTACATAAATAACATAAGACCCCAAAATTTTTGTTAAAGAAAGTATTGACCGGACCATGTTTTTTATATGTTTTTTGGGTCGCTGAATTCGAATCCGAACTGAGTTTTGCTCCTTCACGTCAAGTTTCTTCAAAATGTAGGATCCAATATGGCTGTCGAATTTTTAAAAAATGTATCAGATTTACTTGAAATTTGTTACTCGGGGGTTCTTGAGGTAGCTGAATACGAATTTCAGCTTAATTTTTCAAAATTTAAAACGGCGGATCTAATATGGCTGACGTATTTTTAAAAAATTTATCAGATTTATTCGAAACTTGTTACCTGGGGGTTTTGTGGGGTCGCTGAATACGAATTTCACCTTAGTTTTAAAAAATCCAAAATGGCGGATCCAATATGGCTAACGAATTATTTAAAAATTTATCAGTTTTTGAATTTTTGAAAAGTAAGGTGAAATTCGTATTCAGCGACCCCGAAAACCCCCGAGTATAATGTTTCAGGTAAATCCAATAATTTTTTTAAAAATTGATTAGCCATATTGGATCCGTCATTTTGAATTTTTGAAAACTAAGGTGAAATTCGTATTAAGCAACCCCAAAATCCCCCGAGAAACAAGATTCAGGCGAATTGGGTGATTTTTAAAAAAAATCGACGCCATATTGGATCCGCCATCTTAAATTTTGAATATTTACGAGTTTTTTTTATTGTTGAACATTATAGTATAATATTTTCTCAGTGATTTAAAGTTGTTTTTTAATATAATCTTCTGTTTATTTTTATTTAAATCTTGTTTACAGTCAGTTTTTTTCGAATTTTATTAATTTGTGAAGAAACTTGACGTGATGGCGAAAAACTGAGTTCGGATTCGAATTCAGTGACTTAAAAAACATTTAATAAACATAGTCCAGTCAATACTTTCTTTTAAAAAATTTGGTGGCCCTGTGTAATTGTTATTATTTATTAACTCCTTATGCAAAGAACCTTAAAACTTAGTTTTTCTCAAATTGGAAATAAACAAGTTAGGCAATAAAATATGAAGATATTTCATGAATCTGACAATTTAGAAAGTGTTTAAAGAAAATAATTGTTGTTATTTACTAAGTCCTTGTAAAAGCACTACAGCTCGGTGACTGCATGCCTGCAGATAACACATGAGAGTAATATTTTAGTGTAAAGCAATTCAAAGGTAATTTTTTTAATTTTGCAGTTTCTGCAGTTCACCATGTTTCTACGAAGAACGTTAGTAATTAAAAATAATATCAAATTCGTAATCAACGATCCCAAAAATTTACAATTAAGTCTAATTAATCTCGTAATCAACAGCAAACAAAAATATCAGTGATGAGAATGTAATCCTTAAAGTCGTAGTAACTTTAAGAAAAGAAAAAAGGTTTTTTTGGAAAAATATAATAGGAATGGAAAAGAGAACAACATTAAATTTTAAGAAAGAAACATTGATAAGATTCTTTTGTATGAGTTACAGTGGTAAACATACTCAATAAAACATAACGTTAAAAATTATGTCAAAAAATAACAATACGTGTTGTTATTTTTGACATAATTACAACAATAAGAAATTTGAATATCTCAAATTGTTTTATACCGATGCGAAAAAAATTAAAAAGGATTACACTTACATTTTTATTATTTTTCAACACTTTGTTGTTAACATTTGTAATAATGAATGTCTCAAATGGTTGAAGAATAATCCCTAATAAATAATATTTGTTTTGAAAATTCTGTAGGTAAAATATTTGAATTGGCCATCTCTTCCATATGGACATCTTCTTCGGACTTATCTTATATAAAAAAATTATCAAGAAATTAAAAAAAAACTTCTCAGTCTCATTAAAAATCGCTTGTTGGTCTAAAACGCCCTGGAAAAAAGTTTCCAAATAAATATGATTTCATCATATATATCGGGATCACTGATTACGAATGTGATGTCAGATTTTCAAAATTCAAAAGAGTGGATCCAATATGAGGACCACATTTTTTAAAAGTTGACCCATTTGTCTAAAAATATTTTTTCGTGAGATTTTAAAGTTGCGAATTTTGAAATTATTTTTTTTAATTTAAGAAATAATTCTAACTCAGAATTTATTAAGAAATAAATTACTTACAATTAAATCAGTTAATAAATCACTGGTACTTGTTTCATTCTTGAAAATTTCATTTTGCGGAACGTTAATCTCAAGTTCTGTGAGATTTTTTGGATACCAGACGGGCATGTTGAGAATAGGAGCCAATTTGTTGTATAATTTTAGTGGTAGGGTACGTCGAAGTTGTCGGGAATTACATTGGAATGGCTGTTGTAGGGAAAATTCAAGGTCAGGGGAAAACTTATCAGAATTCAAATACCGTCTCGATTCTGCGAGTAATCTCAACAAGTTCAATGAAATCTTTAAAGTCTTTTTTAAATCGGGGTCAGTATCACTTTTTCGAATTTCTTTATTACGTATTGAATACCAATTGCACAAAGTATTTAAAATATCTCTAGATGATTTTTCATTATTCAAACACTTTTCTAAAATCTCTAATAATTCTTTTTGATCTGGGGATAATTCTAATGATTTTTTGTTGGCTATTAATTGATTAAAATTTTTATTATACGATTCTCCATCGTTTTCAGTGTCAAAAAATATTTTCCTTGATTCGGAAAATTTTAATGTTAAGTCAACACTTGTTTCCGCTCTTATGAGACGTGCTTTTTTTTCTTCATCTTTTGCAAAAACATTAATTTCTCCCATTGTGGTTTTTGTTCTTGATAACTTTTTTCGTTTTCCTTTTAAGGCAGGTTTATCAATGTCTCCTTTTTTCGAATCGATTTTTGTTTTTGGACTTTGAATTGTCACACTTTTAATTAGTGATTTTTCTTCTTGTTTTCGTGAACCTTTTGGCGTTGATACGTCACTCGATACATCATCAACATCACTGTCATCGAGTGACTTGGAGACAATTAAATTGACACGCGATTGGATGGAAATTGCTTTTCGTGAACGAAGTGCTTTTAATGACTCTAAACTGGGTTTCCAGATCAGTGGAGTGTGTAATGGAGCGAGATTTTTCGTTATATCTATTGCTTCATTGGACATATCGGCTTGAGCGTCTTCCGATTCGGAACTCTGGCCACTTGGTGTTGATGGTTTTGAGATATCTGTCGATTGAGCAGAACTCGATTTCAAACTGAGTTTCTTTAAATCGGTACTCTTTGGTGACAAACTATAATCTTTCGGCAAATTACTTTCTGTTTCTTGCGATATTTGTAATGTATAGTCCTTTGTCAGATCCTTTGTCACTTTTGCAGATGATTCTCGAACGGGAATTAGGGATTCCAAAACAGGATTTTCTAAATCAGGAATGGTGACAGAACTCTCATCATCAGATGATTTTATAATTGATTGTTGAGGTAATATAGGTTTTACAGTATTTTCGAAAGTTTTAAAAAGACAGGGAAGGCATCTATCGGAATTTTTTCTTGGATACATTTTTAAGGATGGTATACTCGTAAGAGATTTTGATTCAAATTGAATGTTCTGAAATTTTGTACTTGATCCAGAAGTGCTGCGAGTAGTGGAGATAATTGTTTTTATCTCGTCACTTTTCTTTATCAATGGGAAATAATTTTCACCTAAATATTTGGAGGATATTGTTCTCAATTTTTCATGAAGTTTTCTGTAATTTGTAGAAACAATTTGTTCTTTTCTTCGTTTTATACTCTTGTTTGTAAGCTTAATTTCAGAAATAGAAGAAGTCTCTGATTTTGTTATTTCTAAGTTGTATTTGAGAGGGAAATAATTTAAATCCTTTTGCTTTGTTAAATATTTTAGAGCACGGTGAGCATATCTTACAGATTGGTTTTTTTTACTTGAACTTTTGTTCGTTTCTTGTGTCTTTGTTTGTGATATTTGTAAACCATTACGTGTTTCTTTATCATTACAATTTAACGATTTATCTTGACAAGTTTTAGAATTTTGTTCAGTTTGAAATGTTTTTTCAACTTTGGTGATACTCTCATTTTTCATATCATCAATTTCGGGTTTATTGAAACTAAAAGAATATTCGAAAACCATTTCTTGAATGGAATTATTTTCAGCTTCACTTTTATTATCGATGGAAAAACTATCCATGGGGATTAGCTTTCGAAAACTCGGATGTAAGCTTGCATACCCTAATTTAGGAACTTTTAAATAATCTTTTGGGATACTCTTTGGAATTTCAAGCTTTTCTTCTGATTCTTTTAAAATATTTTTTTCCGTCTGTGTATCAAGATTAATATCAGATTTAGAATTATCTTTGTCTAAAGATTCGTACGTTTCTATGGAACTTGGAATTGATACTGTTTTAGCAAAACTTGCTAGTAGACTGGCTTTTCCTAATTTTGGCGCTTTAATGAGTTTTTGAGTATTAAATGAAAGGGAATTTTTCTTATGTAAATCATTTGTTTCTATTAAATTGTCCAAATTATCAATTTCCAATGAAGTTTGATTTTTTATTTTTTCTATTACATTATCATCTCTCTCGATTTTATTTGAATGTAATGAGCATGATATTTTTGAAATTAAGGGTTGAACTTTTTTCGATGACAAGTATTTTTTCAGATCTTCGTCGAAAATTTGAGGGGCAGGTTCATTTTTGTGAAAAGGACATTTCTTCTTGGTGTAAAATTGTAAATTGGTAATATCACTTTTATCTTTCCTAAAACTATTTGAACAGAGGTCTTTTTTTTCCTTGAGCAAATGTAACTCTAATAAGACATTGTCATCAAATTGAATATCATTTTTATTTACTGTATGATTCTTATTGTGAAAATTTTCCGTTGCGAAAATAAAAGACAATTTTCGTAAAGGTGTTGGTGGTGAGACCTTAACCACAGGTTCTTCGTGAGATTGAACTTGACTGAGATTTTTTAATTCTACGGAATCGAGAGGATCAAAATATAAATTATTATTTGAATGATATATGAAAGGAAAATGAGAGAAAGGATTTCTTACTTTTCGTACTTTTTTTTCTAAATCATTACATACGTCATTCCAATAAGATTCAGATTTTTGGTTTGGTAATTCCCATCTAGAGAAGAGTATAAATATTATTTTAAACATTTGTAATGCATAAAATAAAAATTAACTTTATTTAAAAGTAATCTAATTGATTTTAATTATAAAATTAAACAGGCTGTCCAGTGGTCAGGGAAAAGTCAGGTAATTTGATTCAAAGTCAGGGAATTTTCTATTTTATAAAAAAATTTTAAAAATTTGTAATTTAACAAGACTAAAATGGTTTTTATTACTGTTACTCTCATTCGATATTAATTTATTGTTAAATATGTTATTAACCTTATTTTTGTTTGAAAAATGCAAAATAAGGTTAGTAAAAAGTCAGAAAAGAGTCAGGGAATTTTTTTTTAATCCTTGCTGGACACCCTGTTAAATTATCAATATAATATAATATAAAATTTATAGAATTACAAAAGAATAGCAAAATACGAAAAAAGGTTATTTAACCTGCCTGGTTTTTTTAATAAAACGCATCTTCGTTTTATCATAATGAAAATGTAGTGCGTGTTTTTTCCTTAATTCGCACATTTTAAGTTAAAACTAAATTCACTGGATTATCAGATTTAATAAGTTAATTACAAATTTAAAAAAATCTATTAAACAAATTATTGCACCAAACATTCACTAATTTTTGTTTTACTGTAATTTTAAACTATTTTCAGATAGATATTGATCAAACTTTTTCACCATTTTCTATTATCTTTCGAGCAATAATGAAGAATACAAATTTCTGAACAAGATGGCGTTACAAAGGATAAGAACACAAATTTTGAAAAATAAAACCCTGCATTTTTATTAGTAAATGACAGTTACTAAACAAATTAGTAAATTATGATTAAATTGAATATCAAATAATAATAAATGAAATAGTAGTATCTATTGTCATGCTTAAAATGCTGTCAATAAATATTGCATAATACAAAATTTAACTTAATTATTCTTGTTTTAGGATTATTGAGATTATTTCTGATTATGATCAGTTAAGAATTCTCATCAGTTCGTTGGATAAAAATCTAAGTTAATAAATAAATGTTATTGCAAAAAATCAACAGTAGGTTAGAAGTTGCTCTAGGTAACTAAATATTTACCTTGTAAAGTTAAGAGACCAATCATCGATTAGAGCTTTCTCATTTACCGACCAACGTTCCTCCCTATTTCAAAATTTCGATCATTCTTCGGGTGCTAGAACACTTCTTTATCTTGTCAGGATAATCAAAAATGTTTAATACAAACTATATAAAAAATGTTACAAGAAAAACAAATTAAAAAACGGCCAATAAAAATTTTTATAATGCAATTTTCTTAAATGTAATTGGAACATAAAATTTCTATTAATCAAGTGGAAATGTATGTTATCTTAGTTTTAGAAATTGTTTCTCTTTTTTAATTTTTTATATAATAAAGATTTGAGTAATAAATTTCTAAAATTTCAATGATATATTTTCAAAGAGAATTAAATTACAACTGTTTTTGACTTTACTAATTGTGTGAAACATAAAGTCATATTTTGTTTAAATATTGTAAATAGTAATTAATTTAAAATAAGTTAACTTGCGATTGGATTTATTTTACTTTGGGTCTTAACTATATTTCTATACATTAGATAAATTTTTGATAAATAATTTTTGTTGTAAATGTCGATATTATTATTTAAGTACGTATTTGAGTTTTAATAAATGTTGGTACAAAGTAAACGCAGGGTCTTCGAATGAGACTGGATGGGGATTTATACAGTAGTAAAGTTGTTAAAAAAATATTCATTTTAATTTGTCAAATAGCAAAGATGGAAATCTTGTTTATAATTATATAAACTATTAATAACAATATAAAAGGTTTTAATTAGTGTTATGACTTATCGATTTAATTTTTTTATAAATAAATAAAGCTGGTCTTCCCCCAGTACTTCGCCAATAATGTGAAGACAATAATGGTTCAATATTGACTCTCAGTGCTGAGAAAAAATTTGTAGCTGCACTGAGAAATTAAATAATAGTAAATGAAAAAATCAATAAAATATAAATAAACGCATACTAAAATACAATTAAAAATTACTAAATGCAATTATTTAAGTTTTCCTTTTACAATAACTAATTTAAATTGTTAAAATTAATATTAGGATAATTTTAAATTCTACTATTTAGTGTAAAATGAAAATAATAAAAAATAGGGTCATTTGGGGTAAATGTAAACGGAATATCTATTATTCACGAAAAACTTTAGTTTTTTTTGTTAAAAGGTAAAACGGACGGATTTCTTTTGCATGAACTTGTTACTTTACTTCCCTAGAAAAATTTTATGAGGTACAAAAAAATATTGATGCACCTGAATCACCTAAATATGATTGTTTACATTTACCCCGAGATTTTGAAATTTTCCTAAAATTCGGGGTAATTGTAAACACCACTGTAGTTGAGCGAGGTTTAAGAAACAAGTTATTTCAAGTATACTACTGTTTTAAGGAATAGAAAAACTGAAAAAAAATTCTTCGTAGATGTATAGTAAATCAGCCAGATGACTGATAATAATGTATCATATAAAATAAACAATCAACCATTACAAAATTAGTAATGTAAAAACTTGAATAACTTGAACAAATTTTAATATATTTTCATTCAACTTGGTAAAAAGAAGTTTTTAAGGTTGCTGAATAAGAATCTAAAATCGAATTTTAAAATTTCAAAATGGTGGATCCAATATGGCGGATGAACCTAAAAATAATATTTTTAAAAATTGATCAAATTTGCTTGAATTTGGCTACTATGGGGTTTTTGTGGTCGCTGAATACAAATTTAACGTTAAATTTTAAATTTTCAAAATAGCGGATCCAAGATGGCGGATGAACCTAAAAATATTTTTAAAAATTGATCAAATTTAAAATTTTTTTTTTATCAATTTTTTTTTTTTCAAGAAGACCTAATTTCCTTTTCTATGTAATTTTACATTGCCAAAGTAATAAAATTGTGAAATAAAAGCAAATTTATTCAATTACTAGCAGAGCTACGCGCGCGCGATATTTCTGTTTCTGTATTTTAATACTCAGGACCTTTTTTATTGTGTGTATATAAAAATGTAAGACCTTATGATCCGTTTTTTTCTTTTTCTAAAATATTGGAAAAAGATTACAATTTTTTTTGAAGAATTAAAAAAAATAAAACACGAAAACCAAAAATTAAATTTAACATACTGAGCTGTATTGTAAAATGTTTATAAAACGTTAAGGTAATTACAGATTTTTTCAAGATAATAGAAAGGTTTTTTCGCAAATAGAATTAACATTACCAATTTGTTGAAATTTGTACCACTGTTAGATAAAAGTTTTTAAAAAATGTAGTTAAATTTTTTAGACCTGTGGGGACTTGTGAAAAAAGTTATAAGCGTCTTTGTTTTTAACTTTTAACATTGAGTTTTGTGGGAATTGAGTACATTTTCAAACATATTTACTCACCACAAAGTACTTAAAATTAGGAAATTATTAAAACATTTTTTAATACGAGACAGATATATAATGGTTAAATATCTGTTTAAAAAGTGTCATTAGATACCTGTGAGAGTTGCAATAAATTAATTTGTAAAAAAATTTCATGTTTCATACAGTATATTGGACAGCTGTTTGAACATCTGGAAACATTGCACACAATTTTCTACTCAAAACTAAATGTAAACAAGTCATACCAAGCATTTGCAACACGACTAAAGAAATGCTGTGTTGACAGACGTTTCGAAGTACCAAGCAAGTCAAATTACAAAATAATGGTTTTTGTTTTGATTAGTTCAGTCAAGCGATAGAAAGACTTTATATATATATTAATTATACATCAGAAGAATTATTTTATTGAAGTATTCTTCCTTCTTTGTCAAAATATTGACACCGAGATTTATTAATAGTCATGATATAAGTCGAGGTATAAGCCGTCCATAAACCACGAGGACAATTTTTTATTAATTTTTGACCCTCCCCCCATCCAATATGGAACACAAATTTTTACTTTATGCAATAGACCTTAATTTTGTCACTCGGTGGTTTTTAGGGACGCTGATTACGAATTTGATGTAAGTTTTCATAAATTTAAAATGGTGTATTCAATATGGCAGAATTTTCTTTTAGATTTATGCAATTGACCTTAATTTTGTTACTTGAGAGTTCTAATACCAGTCAGTTAGCTGTAAATGTCATAGGAGCGCTCACTGACAATTATTTTAGCACTTGCGTCGATTCACGACCAGCGAGCGTGTATAGAAATTTTTTTTTAATTTCTCTTTCCCATATTATACATTTGAAATTTTGAAAACAAACATCGCATTCGTAATCAGCGACCCTAAAAACCACCGAGTGACAAAATTAAGATTAATTGCATAAAGTAAACATTCTGTTCCATATTAGATCTGCCATTTTGATTTATGGGAAACTAAAATTGAATACGTAATCAGCAACCACAAAAATTCCCGAGTGACAAAATTAAGGTTTATTGCATAAATTAAAAAAAATTTTGTTGTATATATTAAATCCGCTATCTTGAATTTCTTAAAAATAACATTAAATTAGTAATCAGCGACCCCAAAAGCCTTCGAGTAGAAAAACTTAGGCGAATTTAATTACATTTTAGTATTTTGAAAAATAGTCACCACCCCTTTCAAAGTTCCTTTCATATTTTAGGCCATATTTGGTCCGCCATCTTTAAATTTTACATTCTAATTTACTTTTTTTAAAAGTATACAATTTTTGTGCCTCTATGGATGAGAATTGAATATTATTCATGCACGTTTAACTCCTTAGCAGAGTAGTCAAAATAAAGTTTTCGTGTCACAACTTTGCTAAATTTTTTTATTTCTTTTAATGCCAGATATCATTATATTTTATGTTTTTGAGGTTACTGAATCCAAATATTTGGATGGGTAAATGGGTAAAAAAATAACCAAACTTGAAAAAATGAAATTTATTTTCTGTTTTTAAAGATAAAACCGCTATATTTAATTTTTGTTTTAAACGAAATTCTTTTTTTTTCACCCCGGAAT